CCATATCTGACAAGTCCCAGACTTGATTGGGAAAATCCCTCTCGAGTTTATTCTTCAAGATGCTCAAGCTTGTCAGACAGGCGTTTGCAAACAGATCTTTGCCGGCCTCGGAATCCTCGAACGTGTCCAAGGAAGTCTGCAAAGCGGTAATCTCTTTCCGAGCTGCCTTCAAGGACTTCTTGTAGTCTTTCTGGTCATTGTGCAACCTTCTTTTTTCCTCCTTGATGAGGTCGATCTCGCTGGCCTGGGAGCCCACCTCTTTCTCCGATTCTAGAGCCGCAAGCCTCTCCATGAAGCCCCTTCGCTCCTCCTCGAACTCCGCCTCACACTTGCGGCGCTCCTCCTCCAGGGCGTCTTTCACCAGCTGCTCGCGGTTCATGGTTGTCATCTCCAAATCGTCATTGAGAGCGGACGCGGAGGTCGAGGCTGCCAACGCCTCCTCCTTGGACTCCAGCAAGCGTCGGACTCCTCTTTTAGCGAAAAGGAGTATTTGCGAACATAAAATCGAAAGGTCAAAAGTATGAAAACCAAACTTGGCAAATTGTGCTAAAATTCGAATAACTAACCTTGGCGCCCACTTGGGCTAACTCCGCAAAGAGGTGTTCTCCGTTCAGCTCCGAAGGCACCTGTAGCATCTTGGCGGGCGACATGGCTAACCCCATGGCGCACCCTCTATCCACGGCGGCCAGCGGGGAACAAAGAAGGGCAATGCCCCCGAGCTTGGTGCGAAGTGGCTCCAGGATCGGTGGGTGCCCATCAGAACCCACGAAGCGCCCCTCCTCGTCCAAGTGAACTTGGGCGCCTTGTTGTTCACCAGGGCCTGTGGCAGTGGCCTTTCCCTTCCCCCTATCGCTCTCTCGAGCTTTCTTGCTGACATAGTGCAGAGGGAGCCTGCCCTCTTCTTGCGACGGACCAGAGGAGGTTGTAGGGTCGAAGGCTGACTCACCCGCATCTGCCTCGAGAGCGGAAGACGCCACGCTGGCTTTCTTGGTGTGGGCGGGCGCCTTCGACAGGGCTGCCTTGGCTTGGTCTTTCTTCCCCGCCTTTCTCTTTTTCGGAGCAGGAGGTGGAGGCACCTGGGGGCGAGCGACAGCAGGAGGCGCCCAGCCGCTATAATAGCAAGCCGACTCTTCATCAACTTCCCGATGGTGGAGAAATCCGATCCTGGACACAAACATAATGATTAGAACAAGTGATTAAAGAAAAGCTTGGACAATCATTAAAGTGCGCCCACACAACATCGTCATAATACTCCTCCAAAACGAGAGCGCGGTTAGAAGTGATGCGTAGGTTTATAGGATTCGTGCTAATGAGTTGGGCGCCTTTGGTTTCATCTGACGAAAGATGAACCCTCGTGTTAAAGGCATCAACGCTGCCCAACTCCCACTCCCTCAGAAAGGCGCCCTCACTTTCGAAAAAAGAGTCTTGGTAGGCTTTCATGAAGAAGAACCAGTTGTCCGTTGAACCAACTCCGCCCCAACTTGGGGCACCTAACCACGAAATGGCAGGGAAGCTTCAAGCGCTTCTGCAGGGAGAGACAATTGTCAAGCGCCACCACGTTGAAGAAGTATCTGAAGAGGTTGAAGGTGGGCCTCACGTTATGCACTCTACACTTCAGTTTGAACAAAACTACCACCACCATAATCGAAGGAGACAGGCGCCCCAAGGAGCACCCCACATTGCCAAGATTCCCTCTAAGATGGGGTCTATGGGAAAGCACACTCCAAATCGAAAGTACTCCTGGTAGATTTCGATCCACTTGGGGCCACACACACCAACTCTGGAGATGGGCGAAGGGGGGGGGGGGGCGCGTACCACCAATCGTGCCAAGGTCACTGTCGATTGGTGATCTGGCCCAGCCACGTCGAATGGCAACTCAGAAGTCTCGATCGGCACGTGATCAGGAGGAACGTCCTCTCCCATGTGGAGATCTTATACGAACCATCAGCGGGCATGAAGCCCCGAGTGGAGGCGCTTGATGGTCTAGCAGATTCAGGCGCCCGCTCTAAACCAAAAATCGAACCAAGCGTACAATCACGAGTTGGGGTAAGGACGCCCACGCCTAAGTGTAGAAAATCAAAAAGAAGACCAAAAAGAGGGGAAAAGTCAGAACGAGCGCTTACCAGAGTTGGAAGGGCGATTGGGGGTAACACATACATCAGAGGCGCCCGCACCAGAGACGCCTGCACCGGTAGCCTTATCTTGTGAGGAAGCCATGTGATCGTTGGAAGAAGAGAGGACGGCGGCGGCGTTAGGGAAGCTAGAGAGAAGTTAGAGAGAAGGGATTGTGAAGAATGGCGATGCTGAGGAGGCTGGAGGTATTTAAGGGAGGAGGGGCTCGCATCGAGGTCCACGCCGCCCTCCACGTGTCAGCATCACGGGCGGACGTTTGAGTTTCCCCCCATTTTGAATTTCAAAAAACCGATTTTTGAATTTCAAAAAGTTTCAATTTTGAATTGAAAACTTCTTAGGTTAAGTCTCAAACCTCCGCCCGTGTGGGGCGCGAGGGAGCACACAGGCGCGCAAGTACAAAAGAAATGAGGAGAGTCAGCGAAGGGTGGAGGCGCCTTCCGTAGCATATATTCGAAAGTATTTGATCGCGCAAGTATGCGCCTGGTCACAAGGCGAGTGGGGAGGGTCAACGAAGGTTCAGGGCGCCTCTTGAGAGGGGGCCATGTATTCAAGAAGATTTGATCGCGCAAATGGGCGCCTGGGCATGAGATGAACGAGGGAGGACGACGAAAGGTTGAGGCGCCTTTTGGTTAAATACAGGGAGGACAATAGGGCGCACGCCGGGGAAATTTAGACAACTTGTGGCCTTAACAACAAGAAGAAAGGAGTCACGACAAGGGCGAGGCGTCGTGCCAAGAGGATCAGTTAGGCACTCAAGGGGCCATGAGTGTCTAACTGGGAGTCAATTGTTGGCGGTATTACAAATAAGGCCCAACAAAGCCCAATGAGACAATGGTGGGCTATCTAGTAGGAGAAGCCCATAAATAGGCCCACGAAACCCATTCCAAGCAGGATGGAAGGCGCATAAAGACAAAACACGAAAGGCTCCAAAGAAGTTCAGGTTGTCAAACGGTCCCCCACCTGCAGGCGTCTGTCAGTCGTCAGAAGACTGACAAGGTGGTTGGGGCGTCTGACAAGAATGAAGGTATAAAGCATTAAATGCGACGCTGACGTGGAGGAGATCGGCCTCGAGTTGGGGGAGTATAAATAGGGGCGGTAGGTAGCATTTACACAGGTTGTACTCTCTCACTAAACTCACTTACTACGCACTTCTCTCTCTAGAAAGGAAACTGGCTTGATTGTCAGAGGGCTAACGGGCCCGGGCGCCCCTCTCTGTGTTCTTGTGTGTAGGTTAGGCGCCTACCGCCAAAGGAGCGAGTTCGGTGACGTGGCATTAAGGCTCAAACATCAACGTTGAGTGTATTCTCTGTTAACTACTAACAGAAAACTTAACGGCTGGAATACAATTGTCATATCGAAAGTTACATAATATAAATGACACTTTCACTAAAGAATGGTATTTCCTGTGGTATTAGCCCTATTTTTTAATAGAGTTTACAAAGCTGTTTGAAAGAGCAAAAGACAATAGGCTCCTTCCGAACTCTACGCTTAAGCCAGGGAAAAGGGAGCGGAGTGGGTTCTCTTCTCGCCAAGAACCTCCATAATATGTTTACTAGCTTGGTACCCGGCATGTTGGCCGGGAAGTCTTATTTTATTATGTGATTACGTTTTCTTAAGATGAAAATTTTATGCATACATACGGTATAATCATGTTTTCGCGAACATGCAACATATATAATCAGATACTTAATTATTATATTTAAATTATTTTCGTATATTTTGTTTTTGTAAATGTTTGTAATTTTTCACATTAGACCCTTATGTAAAATTTTGATGACTTCACTTAATATAAAATAGAAAGACTAATTACATAATTAACCACTTGATGCTGTAAAAATAATTTTTTATTTATTGATATAAGCGATACATGTTCCTAACTCAAGATATTCAGTCTTAATCTACATATACCAATTCTTTGCTAAGTATATAACATGTCTATGCTAAAATTTTGGGATGTTTAAAATACTCGCTCATGATGGTTTGTTTTTCTAATCTTGATTTGACCTTCACTTATGAGTTAGATATTTCTAGTGCTGGGTTAGTATCTTTATAAAAATCCCACTAAAGGTAATTTATTAGCCAAAATATTCAAATGATTATTTTATATGATATATAAATGTGTTTAATTATTATCCAAGATATTCAAATGATTTGTACATACACATAAAATATAGGATATTTGGTAGAAATTATAAAATACTTCTTTTTTTTTTCTTTTTTTTTTTGGGGAGAAGTTAATAATACTTCTAAACGTTAAAGAGGTCAAATATGGTGAAGTATGGAAATGGGAGTGACGTTAAAAATTCCATGTATTCCTAATATAATACATGAACGGAAAAAAAATGAGAAAGAAAACACTTTTTTTTTTTTTTTTTGACAAAAGATAATCATATATATTAGATCAAAAAGATAGTTACATCCTGGAGATCAGCCAGGTCTGAAAATCAAAGTGACGGAGCATAGCCGGGTACAGAGAAAGGGCCTTTCGAGCCACCAAATGGGCTACCCTATTAACACGCCGACCTACAAACCGTACAGAAAACCCAGGAGAACAGGACAAATAATGCAGCACCTCTTCCAGAATAGCTCCTATCCTGCCATCCCTAACCTCCTTCCGCTGGAGCTTCTCAATGACGACCTTGGCATCGCCTACAAACCTCACGACAGCAAACCCATGCCCAATGCACCAAAGAATCGCGCTCCTTAAAACTAGCAATTCCACCACCAGAGGGTCATCAATGACAGGGATATGGAAACCAGATGCCAAGAAAACACTTAAAACAGAGAACAGCAAAGAAATTTTCTAGAAAAAACGGCAAAGAAAAATAGATAATGATCAAAATTAAGTGGAAGTTACAAATGATCAGCCGAAAAAAATATTTAAAAAAAAAAAAGGATTTCCGAAACTCACGGAAAAGCCTGCAAGGCTGACGTGGACAGGGTCTATTTCTAAAACCCCTTTAATATATTTTAAGATTATTATTATTTGGAGGAAGGGTAAGGACAATTGAGCATTGCTGTGGTTAAGAGAATGGCAATATAGAAACTACTACCAAGATTCTAGTCTACATTCAATCTGTATGTTGTGTGTAATTACTACCACAAACAAACAAAATTTCAGCATACAGAAACTTCTCGTCTCGTGCCAGCCCCCCACAGCACAGCTCAAGCCACATGCAGCAATAACATAACAATCACCGGAAAAAAGAATCCAATCGAGTTCCTTTACTTTACTTTTGCCAGCCTGCCCAAAGCGGTTGCCTGGATAGCTCGATGATCCTTCCAACCTAATTTCGCCTCCTTCGTTCTGCAATGTGCCGAATGCAGCGCTGGCCTGCCCTTCCCCCAAAATTTTCTCTACTCCAATCACAACTTTCTCAGTCTTTCTGCAGAAGCTGCTGCCCTCTTATTGGTAGGTTCAAGCACCGAGGCATATCGGAAATCTGCACCCAAAATTGGTGTGTTAACCATGGGAGAAATGATGAACAACATTATGTGGTTGATGATTGAAACATCAAGCGAGACAAAAAAACTGACCTTCAGTTGCCTCCTTGTAATAACCGAGAAACTCTCTTGCTGTGCCTCTTCTCAAATATGCCTTCACATTCTACCAGATGAGAAATAAAATGAATCCATCAACGGTTTTGAGGTATTTCAAAGAGCCATTCACAGATAAAACCATGCAACTAAAATTCAACATGATCGTGTGGACTGCGGACCATGAAGTCTTATAGACCAAAATGTTTAAAACTAGCAAGTCCTACTGAACTAAAGTTAATCTGACAAGCAACTACAGAATCTATTTCAAGTGAAAGGAAAACCGGAACCAAGGTCCACAAATCAACTAAAGCCACCACGCATGAAACTTGATAACCACAAGCTAAAAGGTCTCTGTGCACATGAAGCAATTAAAGCCAAGCATCAATCCATAAATCACTTGAAGGCTCAGAGGCTGAGCTACAAAGAAGCAGCAGAAGAAAGAATCCAGTAACCAGGTTAGCTCTCTTTCCACAAGAAAATACCTTTTTATCCAGATCAATAGCTTTTGAACAATCAGCCTCAGCTTGGTGAAAGCTGCACAATAAAAAACCCTTATTAGCATACAAAAAGAAATTACACAACAACACTCATAAAAATATCTCCCAAGATCATCTACGTACCTCTTAAGTTCAAGATAAGCTGCAGCTCTGTTGCTGTAATACGTTGCATTTTTGTCATTAAGTTTGATGGCTTCTGTATAATAACCAATGGCCTTTTGCCATTGTTTATCCTTATATGCTTGGTTTCCCTAATGATCAATGAAGCAAATAGTTGACAAAAACTTTCCACTGAAAACACACAAATATAAGCACTTGAGAAGTTCAATGGCCTTTGTATATGGGAAAGGTTAACAACAAACCTAATCAACTCGATAATATTATGAGTTCCTACATGGTAGACTTGGGATTCTGGCCAGAAGAGAAATCTAGAATTCTTAAAATTTCCCTCTGCGTGTCTATTAAAAGTGAAACCAGCTGAATGCAATGAGTTGTGCTACAAGTGTAGCAAAATAACAAAATGCAAATAACATTCAAAAAGATAAGCAGGTGCACGGTGTTGTGTTCTTGACACGCCACGAATAATTAGACTAAAAGTTTACGAAGAAGTTTTCTGTGGGAACTATGTGTACAAGGCATAAAATTGCTGAAATCTATGCAAGTGGCAATGAAATTTTTAGATAACAGATTCATAGATGACAAATTATAAATGCCGAGGGACAATATGCACAGATTCTACGAAGCCCGATTGGCATCTACATTTGACAGATAATTATTACCTTTTCCTTAGCTACATCTGCAGAAATTTCTGGATTTCCTGCACGACCAGATTGTTTCGATGTAGCAAGAACATCAGCTTGCTCTTGTAGAGTTGCATACATGCTCTGCAATGTGTCTAGTAAAAAGCGATCTCCCCCTTGTCGGGCTATGAAAGAAATTGAAGTAGGACATTTGTCATGGCTCCCCAATGGAATTGTGACCTGGTACATTAAACGATGCAAGTCACTTAAATAGCTAACTAATGAAAAGAGTAAGAAGACAATAAAATAGATAAAGTATAGCACAATGAATTCCGCTGACATTGCATTTGGGTCCTCCCATAAGTAATCCGGCAAGGTATCAATCAGCCTGATGCCCTTTGTAAGTGGGTGCGATATCCACACAAAATGGCAGAGATTATTACCTGGCAACAGCCAGAGAGGCTAGCAAGACTTAACAAGCTATATGAACGTAGCTTGTAGTCCTCTGAGAGCAGCTCTTTTGCATTGAGTTTAGGAGGAAGAGCATATGTTGTTGGGATCACAAGAATGCCATCATCCTATAATAAGAAAAAAGTTCAACATAAGCATAAACTAACAAAGGAACAAAAACCAAGTGCATAAACAATAAACACTAGAAGAACAGGATATGCATGTTTCTGGCAGATGAAAAATGGTGAAATTCCCAGACCAATACCTCAACTTCATCTTAAAGGCACTTAACAAGGAACTTTTTGGTTTCTGTAGCAAAACCAGGTACGATTTAACATCAAACAGCTTAAATAGACCTTTCACTAAACTTACACTCCTTCTGCAGTTTAACAATTAAATTTCCTACACTATTTTGAAATTTCAATATCAACCAAGAGAATGATATTTGCAGATGTCAAGCCATGCTAGTACGCAACATGAATGAAAAATCCAAATGGAGATAAACAAATTACAATTGACCTTAAGGAGTGTGTTGATGGCTGCACGCATTTCATTTCTAACAGATCTGTATTTTTCAATCTCCGTATCTGAAATCTCTGCTGCATCATTTAAATGAGCAGAGATAACAGGATCAAGGACAGGCTTTTCCGTCTTCAACCACTCCTCATGAATATTACTGAACTCATACCTGTTAACATGAAAAAATATCAATACTACATCTAGATTGTAAGAAAGATGCAAGTCAAGAAGCAGTAAGTACAAATATTGTTCATATGGAACATCATAGATAACAGATAAAGGAAAGAAGAACAGGAAGAAATGGAAGCAGGAATCTTGTTTCTTATATTTTGAACTAGATGCCCTTCACCTTCAGCACAGACACCATGATGAGGGTATGCATTAGATGTCTGGTCTAACAAGAGAAGTTCGTGAAACTTACTTCACATTAGAAAACTGGACAGAAGCAAGGAAGAGGAAAATATTTTTCAATTGGAGTAATGAGATACATGAGGACTGCGACCAATTACATACGAGCAGCAAAGCCCCAACACTGCCAATATTGTTTTCTATCTATCTTTTTGCAGATATACCAAGAAGGAAAGAGGGAGACGGGTATTTAAATTGAATTCCCGCATTTTAGTACTCCACAGGCAAACACTTTCTTTAACAATCTATCAATTTGTATGTCATGAAAATCAGCAAAAAAAAAGAGGACAGAATGGCAGCTGCGTCTTCTAGAAACAACAATAGAAACACCTAGAATACAATACACACCAAAAAAACAAAGGATACATACAGTAACAAGATGATGATTGGACCATGCAGACCTTCATCAAATTATCCATAGAGAACTTTAGTTGCTCATTGCAATGTAAGATAAGACTGCTCACCTATGAAGAGCATGCATGATATTTGCTAGCATTCCTAGCGAAGAAGTTTTGTCTTTAGCATCTGATTTGTACGTATGAAACTTTTTCAAGCTTGGAACATTAGAACATAGAAACTCCTCGAAAATTTCATGCTTCAAAGCTTGTCCTACAGAAATTTATTAAGTAAAAATATTAGGAAAGTAAAATAAGCAGAACAAGGTTTATCATAGGAGGAAGAGCAATCCAGTATCAAAAGTTGAATCTATCAGGTAGAAAGAATCAGCACGTACTTCCGAAGAGCTTCTCAGTAGATGTGATCAATGCCTGAGCAAGCTTGTCAAATGGAATCTTGAATAGTTCAAAACAATCATCAGCTATTATAATTTGTCGGGGTTTACGTTGGACTCCAAATGGAAGTTGCAAGAGCACATGGCCAACACGCCTCAAAACATCAGGATCATTGGCAAACAATCCTGCAAGTTCAACCAAGAAGATCATCACCATCAACTCATGTTACTTAGAGCTAATAGCTTACGAATGGCCAGTGTAGTTAACAAGCATGACGGTCACGCACATAAAACTACATATGTGTTGAGGTCTGACCTCCGCCAAACTATCCACTCACTAGCTTGCATTGAAAGTAATATAATAAAAAACCTATACAATCTAAGTCGCACCTACCCGCATCTGGCAACCTGAAAGCCAGACCTAGGTCAAATGCAAGCCAACAAATAAAACTACCAAATACTTCAGATGATGATGAGAACTATCATTGATAAATCATTAAGAAAACTTCCCCAATTACATTCATTTACAGCCTGTTTGGATTGACAAAAAAGTAAGGAATTGGAATTCCATTTCCAATTCCATTTCCATATATTATGTTTGGAATAATAAAAAGGTTGAGAATTGAATTCCAATGGGTCTAAAATATGAGAATTACAATTCCTATCAAAAGTGATAGGAATTGAGAGAATGAAGATGGAATTAGTGGGACCCATCAATACTTTTTATTATTTTGTTGACCCACTATCATTTTACTCTCTTTCTCTCTCATTCATATTTCATTTCCCAAAATAAAACAAACATATTACATTATTCATTATGGTTAAAAGTGCAATTCATTTCCATAGTTGTAGGAATTATACCAAATACTAGAATTGGAAATGGAATTCTATAAAAATAAAAAATTGAATTCCATTTCCATTTCCATTTCCATTTCTTCCGGAATTGTATCCAAACAGGCTGTTAAGGGAAAAGTGCTATATGAATCAGAGGTTCTCTCGAGACGGGATGCAAGGTGAGGCACAAAGAATCGAGCTTCAGATAAACAAAGATGCCAAATCAAGTATTAAATTGGTAAAAGAGGGGTATAAGAAGGGAGGAGAGGGTTACTGATTAACTAAACTTAGGCGCAAGGCATGCATAATCCATACAAAATATACACAAATCTTCCAATTTCAAATCTGCTTCCCAATCCTTCATCCATCCTGAGCCACACTTATATCCAAACAACCTCGAAATAAGCCTGAACTCTCAGCTCTCAAACCTAACTGTACCAACTAGGCAACCACTCTTTTTAATATGTTTGTCCTGACCAATGTCAATCCTAGCAGCACATGACTTCAGTCCAAAGGCAAAATTAGGAAATACCAAGCCCATAGCAGCCATGAATGATGTTCAATAGAGGAGACTACTGTAACTACGTCCCCCACATACCGACTGTATTATCTATGTTGTGGACTGACATAAGCAGAGTACGTATAAGGGATAGTAGGAAGATATTTGCAAAATATTACATACCAACTGTATCCAGGCTAGGTGAAATGGTTAACATTCCCATGTTTGAAAGAGCTCCATATGACGGCCGAAATCCTATGACCCCACAAAAAGCAGCAGGTACTCTTACACCACCAACTGTGTCAACACCTGTAATAATATATGTATGCAAGCCAAGCCATGAATTAGTATCCAAGATTGGCAGAATTGTCTTAGCTATACCCACCTAATTTCACTTTCCCAGTGCCAAGACAGAGGACACAAGGAAGCAGCAACAGAAAACATGGTATGTCCAAACTGGAAAAATAAACCCAAGCGGGTTTGATTTGACTGAACAAACCATTTAAAGATATATAAACACACAGCTCTGATGACCACAGGAAGACTTGAATTGGTGTTGTGTACTTGCACCACGCACAAAAAATAAGAATTAAAAGGGGACGAACAAATGCTACATTATAAGAGCGATCATGGGGAAATACCCAATGAAAAATCAACAAGCTTAGCTGCTACGGTGACAGCTGCTCCACTAGAAGATCCACCGGGAACGCGAGCAGGAGCTGCAGGATTGGTAGGTGTACCATAATGCCTATTTTCTCCATTGATACTGGTATCAAGCATGCAAGAATAACATCAGTAAATAGACAGAAGATAAACAAAATCCATTCCCAGGTGACAAAGAAATATACATTAAGAGTCCAAGTGCCCAGTGAAGAAGGTGAATATATGCCCTTAGATTATGGCTGTACCAACAGTAATGATACTGAAATATGCATAAGAGGTCGGCATACCTATAAGCCAGTTCGTCCACGACAGTTTTTCCTACACAAGTGGCACCTCCTTCAACAAGAGTTGAAACCACAACCGCAGTCTTAGACGCCGCACCATGTGTACTTGCCCAATCAGGATGTCCACAACCAGTGACAAATCCTTCAATGTCAAATCTGATAATTATAGTTCAAGAGCTTTAGAGGTCCCAGATAAAATGAAAAAAAAAATAGAGAGAGAAGACTGAAAATCTGATAATAAAAAGAACTCCCAAGAATTCACACGTCCATACTCCATATAATCTCAATGAACTACTAGTACTATCCAACATGCTGCCACCAAAAGAACACGAAATCACTCAATTGGAAGAATCAACTAGATCATTAACATGATAATAACAGAAGGAACCACAGAAGCACAGAAACTGTAAGTGTTCATTTCAAACTAGTCTATTCCCATAGTACGGAACGCAAGATTGAAAAGAAGCCTAACGAAATTCCTTTCCAAATCCTCCAGCACCCGAGCAGCCAACCCTCTCCACAAGCAGTTCCAAAACCTCTCTATTCAAGCTTCTCTAACGCCGTGAATTACAAGTCCAGTGCAAACAACAAAACAGAATGGAACAGGGAAACCAGTTAAAAGAGCAGTGAGAATTACACGTCGGAAACGGCAAAGGTGAGGTCGGTAAGCGGATGGCGAGCTTTGGGGGGAGCGGGTTGAGGCGGGGGAAGGAGTTGAAGCTTCTGGACGAAGGCACCGAAGTCCTCCCGTACAGCTCTCTTCAACTTTCTGGTAAGTAGCAGAATCCCGGCCAGTCCGAGACCAAGTAGAACCAAGAGATTGGCACGTGTAGATGGAGCAGTAGGTGACGAAGAAGAAGTGGAAACCATTGTTATTAAGCCCATAGGGACGGAACCGAAAACAAGAAAATTGTATAAACCCTAGAATCGGAGAGGGAGGCAGAGGGTTCTAGGGTGGCGCTCCTGAAGGCTGATGGAGAAGGAACAGGATAGACTTCCGAGCGACTCCTTGCTTACGAGACGCAGCCTCGAGCAGCGAAAACCTTTTTCACATTAGGAGGCGCTTTCCCTCTTCGTCTTCTTCTTGGGCTAACTTGCAGCGGCTGGGTCTTTTCTGGCTTCTTTCTAGAAAGTTGGCACAATTGAAGGGTCTTTTTGGCTTCTCAGGCTAAATTGCAGAAATGGCCACAAAACTTCTATCCAAATCTGTCTTCCATCACTGAACTCTCTATTTATTGGGGCTGAACTTCCTCTTGGTCCCTGCTAAACAGATAAGGTTGTCAAACCGGTTAGGTACACTGGTATCATAAGTTGAATCATTTGATCGTGGTACTACCAGTTAATGTCAGTTTTAACAAAATTAGGTTATGAATATAAATAATATATCTTAAGACAACATTTATACCTTCTTTGCCTATATTCCATAGTTGGCCACAAAAATTCTATCCAATTTTATATTTCATCATTGAACTCTCTATTATTGTCATTGAACTTCTCGTTACTAAACAGTTCATGAGCAATTGGTGTTTGATTGAGGAGAAACTCGTGAGGTGTGACTCTTTACTTAACGAGTTAGCTCTTGACTCGTTCGGTGGATTTACTAATAAATCGAGTTAGATATTATTGGATATAAGGGGTTTTGGAAATAACTTTAGTTTTACTTTTCATAAATCCACATACATTCGGAAGATATGTCTATAATAAAAGTTGTATTCCTTAAAAAGTTATGCGAAATAAATAAAAAAAAAGTTTATATGTTCAGGTTGCGGAGTACAAAGTTTGGCAAAATTTAAAAATTGTTAGTTTGGGATAGCAAACGACGTTATTCCAGACGAAGGCGAGATGAAATTGCCTTTGGTTGCATACAGCTTGCAAGATCTCGAAAATTTATGCGGAATAAAAAATCCGCTTCGATCGGATAACCGAGTGCAAATTACGTTCGTTCGAAGTTTTGGCCTAGGTTAGGCGTTCACCGCTTCCGACGGCCGCGGTGAAGCATTCACCGCTTTTGACGACTGCAATGAAGCAGTTCATCGCTTCTGACGGCTGCGATGAAGCCCAAACATGTGTAGATTGGGAATATTTCATAAAACGTGTGTTTTTTTTTTTTTAAGAACGTGTGTACTTTGGAAAAAAATCCTTAAACATAACCCATATGTTTTCTGCCTATTAGTTTCTATGTCCAACTATGCTAATGCTAACACTCACAGAGATCCTTTCCTTATATGATGCAGCTGTAATTTCATGAACTTTGCCAGAAACATAAGTTGCCACAAGTGCACTGTGGAAAGGCCAAAACGGGTGGGAGTAAATGACGAAGAATGTAGATTAGTATCTTTGTTGGTCTCTCTATCTCTCTCTCTCTGTATGTCTGTAGGTTTTGGTTCACAAATTACAACAGAAATGTTGCCTGTCTAAAATGCATGACCGATCGTCCCAAAAAACATGTAAACGCGAAAAGGATGGTGCAGATTTGTCGTAGAATATGCAGCTGATTACGAAGAATAGAGAAGACCCTAGTAGCCCAACTATTTGAGCCTAGAAAGATATAGGCGGTTGTGAGGCACGTATGAGGCGTCTATTCCTAGTGTAGGGAAGGCACTCCTCAACCCTACAAATAAAGGTCCATGGGTGGTTGCTCAATACACTCTCTGCAATTTAAGTTAGAGAGAAAAGTAACAATGTGTGTTAGGTTTAGAGTAAGGTTGTCAAATCGAATTAGGTCATCAAGCCGGTTTGACAACGATTTGAGGTTTAATGGTTAGATCGGGGATCAATCGGTTTAAGCCGGTTTTGATAGGATAGGTGGATATTGGATATTTGGCAGCCAATTTTGTCATAGATTTTGCGCTGAAACCCATTTAAAGAAATAAACAACATAGAAAGACTTATTACATAAAATCCATATAAATAAAGCAAAACCCCTAATTACTTTTTGGACCCAAACAAACCCTAAAACCCCAACATAAATCTATCTCCCTAGAGATGAAGCAATAGCCGTCGCCTATACACAGCCACGCCCACAAAGGATTTCGACGACCTAGTGGACAAGGATTCGATGACCTAGAACCAGCCAGACAGAAGGAAGCCACAAGAAGAAACCAGAAAAATCCAATTCAAAGGACAACCTCAACCTGACAATACAATGAGAGCATCAAGGAAAACTGATCGAGGGCCCTGATTCGGGCTGAAATGTACACATTTTACCCCTAATTTCTTATTTGTTTAGCTTAGTATTTCATCGTTCCTAAGGTGCGTTCCGCTCGGTGACTAAGAAAGAAATTGGTTTGCGCTTGAATTGACGTGATACATATTTCATGCTAGGTTGTGTTTGTTTTAATACATTTCAGGTCCTAGCACGTGTGGAAGGGTCGAGGACGAGTTTTGGGATATTTGGAGGTCAAAAAGCGCAAAAACCGGAAAAAAGTCCAAAGCGACTGTGACAATTGCCTCGTAGTAGTGAATTGATGGCGTCCAAGAAACAGCCACAGTTCACGGTCGGACGAGGCAGTTCACGGTCTCCTAAGACTGTGAACTTCGACCACAAACCGTGAACACCGAGGCGTCCATAGAGGTTCATGAAGTTACTAACGACAAGGCAGTTCACATCTCGAAGACCGTGAACTGTGGCCATTGATCGTGAACCCAGGAAAGTGAAGTGGTGCGTTTTGGACGACACTGAGTTCACGGACGGGTTTAGGTGTTCACGGTCGTGAACTGACCAACGCGTCCGTGAACTAGTCACTTTCGGCAAGTATGAAGACAACAACGGGGAGAGAGAAATGAGAGCTGGTTTTTGGAGAAGAAACACTTTCTTTCTCTAGGGTTTCAACCTAAACACCAAAGGGGAGTTCTAGTGAGAGAGAGAGAGTGCTAAAGTCATCTTGGAGCATCATTGGAGGCTTGGGTGGAAGATTCAAGCCGAGAAGAAGAAGATATTGAGCTCGAATTTGTAATCCCTCTCTCTCTCTAGAAACTCACTCTTTTCTCTTGGGTGTTGTAGATCCCTAACTAATACTTTGTAATTACTTGTTTAGATTGAATGATTAAGTGTGGGTTTGCATCAATTTGAGTATTAGAGGTGGTTTCATGGTGATTATGCATGCTCGTGCTTAGCAATCTAAGGGTTGTGCATGTATTGTGCTTAGCACCCTTAGGTTTGTGCATGTAGGTGCTAGCAATCTAATTAGCCCCCTTAGCCTAGCTTAGAGAGGAAAATCCCCATTCCAAGGGAGACTCAATCGAGTTGGTTTTCCTTCCGATTTCTAAGCCACCAAACTAGGTTAAGTTAGGGCAACCTTCAATTGAATTAAGCAAATCGGGTAATCGCGATTAAGCCGTCCAACCTTAAGTTGAGTGAGGGAGTAAGTCAACTACCGATTGTCCAAACCGAGAGGTTCAAGTGACACGGCCTTTCATGCTTACCTCGGTTTAGCAATTGAGATTGTGGTCTCCAACCACATATGCATCCCTCTGCGGTACGCGGTTACCAGTTTGCATCTAGGTTGGCTGTGATTAAGCCGCTCAAACTCCAGTTTGAGGGAGAGACCTAGGCAACCACTAAAGCCTGAATGAGAGGATCGATCCCGTGACAAATCGATCCCTAGAGAATCCATCCCGTGACAAATGGATCGCTAGTTGCTCCTCCTAGCGGTTCTCGTAGACTTGGTGAGTGGATCGATCTCGTGACAAATCGATCGCTAGTGAATTGATGCCATGACAGATTGATCACTAGTTGCTCACCCGCGAGGTTCACAACCACCTACGCCTCACGACTTCATTCAATCCAACAAGTCATGGTAGCTAATTAGGGGGAAGAAATTCCTGGGTGAAGCTCCCTTAGTTAGACTTTTCCTTTGTTTACTTTTCCTTGATAGTTTAGTTTGTAGTTCCATTAGTTATGTACCCAAAAGTTGCTTGCTAGATAACAACCTAAGCGATTGAAGTAGGGGTACATGGATCATCCTGGGTTGACAATTTAAATAATTTCTCTATATTGTACCCGACTAGAGTTTAAAAACTTGGGCTCTAGTCGGGATTAATTTGTGGTGTAGTTTCGTGCGAGTCAGGCCCATGATCAATCGGCGGGAAAGAAAAGAGAGATGAAGACTAAGAATCTTAGGGCGATAACATCAACTAGATTGTATCGAAGAGAGAGAGAGATGTCATATCTGGCATCGACCGACGCGCGAGGAGCCACCGTCGGAGCTGGGAACGAACGGGGAGGTGGGGGTGGAGGAGCGAACGCAGGCGGAAGGACGGAGGTGGATTTGGGAGAAACGAGAGCGACTTTTGGCTGTTAGCTCGCTCGACAAAAAGGAAGTGAGAGCTAGGGTAGAAGTTAGATTCAGTCAATTGTCAGGAGTCGTAGAAACCGCTCAGACCCCGGGGTTTTATGGTTTTTAGCAATTTTGACCGGTTGCCGACTAGTCTAAAATATGGCTTGCTGGGGCAATTTTCATGTCCGGTTCTGGTCGAACGCGATTGGACCGGTCGGTCGGATAAGGGTTTGACAGCCTTGATTTAGAGAGAGGGGAAGTAATTGAGTTACGATCAATGCTCATTTGGGGGTATTTGTACCCAGTTAGGTAGAGGTTAGGGCATTAAATGCTATGTCAGGTGCACTAAGCCTCTGGGAAACCACCTACGACGAATAATTAATGCTCAGTCATGCTTGCCCCGAGTTAAATTTCAGACGGTCTACTTGATGTCCCATCTGAGGTAGAACCGTCTGCCTGCTTGGCCCACCAGAACGTCCAGAATCTCTATTGGGCCTCGAAGCTCAATACTGCTCAACATGTGGTCCACCACCAACATAATAAGAAGGCAATCCATGTTTTCTTAAGAAAGAAAAGAGACGACGAAATGAAAAATGACAACTTATGGAATTTGTATTTGTTCAGACTTGAGAGAATTGAAATTTTTGGTATCCCCCTAGCATTTTTATTCAGAGAGAAGAAATCATAATCCATTTATCTTAATTGTTTTATTATTTTATATGAGGGAAGTTACATATAAAATTATTACAAATATTTTCTTTCGTATTTAAATTAATAGTATGTCTAATAGTATATCCATAGCCATAAATTAACATTAAGTTAACTATTTGAAAAACTATTTATTGCTTTTCAAAAACCTTATCATTTTATTTTATTGACATAAAATATCGACGGTTATAT